GAACCATCTCCTGCACTGCCACCAGCTGCATCTCCTCCTCCAGATCCTCCTGAAGAGGTGGAACTTTCTCCAACCCAGCCCATGATGCTCCCTCAACTTCCAAGTGAGCCACCCAATGACAGTGCAGCTCACCCTCCACCCCATTCTGAGACAACAATTCCAACTCCAGCCCAAGGTCAAGCTCAGCAGCCAAGTGCCGCATTTCATCCTTCAGACCTGGAAGCCACTATCATTCCAGAATGTACTACTGGCAGTGAATTTTCTACAGCCCTGAAGAAGGCTACAGCTCTTCCTCCGAAGCACTACGAAGTGACACTTCCACCTCCAGACTGGATTCAGACTCAGCATTCAAAACTCAGTCTGCTCACAGTTTGACCTTTGCACTGGAAGCTTATCAGCACTCCAGGAATTAGTGCAAAAGTTAGATCTTTTCCAACCATGCCCAAGACCCCATCTCAGCCTCCAGAACCAGCTAAGGTGGTTCAAACTCTAGAGTCTCATGAGGTGAAAGTTGTAACTCCAGGTCTGGAGACAGCTCAGCATCCAACATCACCCACAGTCACAGACCAACCTTTGAACCTGGAGCTCACAACTGCAGTACTACTCACCATAGAGACTCAGAAATAATAGCTAAAAACCTAATCAGCATTTTTCCATTAGCAAAATGGTCAAAAACCAGTACAGTTGTAAGATACTGGTTTCCAAAAGAATTATTCCTGTAGGTTTTAAACACCATTTTGCAGATATATATATATATATATATATATATATATATATATATATATATATATATATATATATATATATATATATATATATAACTGTACTTCTGCAGGAAGCTGCATCTCCTCCTCCAGAGCAGCCTGAGGTGATGCTTACACACCCAGAGCAGGTGCAGGCTCAGCATCCAAACCTGGCGGAAGTCACCATTTGGCCTTTGGATGTGGAATTTGTGGTCACTGAGTATTCTGTGAGTCACTCTCCAGGAAAGGCTTCCACGGTACAAGAGAAGCAGAATGCCAGGACAAACACCGACATATGTGAGCTCTGTACCTGCCAGGATGAGACCTTATCATGTACTAGTCTCAGCCAAAACACAAGCTCCACCAAGTGCCTGTATTAGAGCCCAACAACACCTTTACCACCTTCAACTTCCAAGAAAATGCTATTTTTTACCTTGGTGAGAATATCTGGACAACATACAGGTGGGCTGAGAAACTAAATTTCAGTGAAAATGACCTGACTGGATTATATAAAAATTTCTTTAAAGGCCTGCTGTCCCTCTGGTATTTAGATTTATCCTGCAATAGAATACAGTTTATTGAAGCACAAACATTTGAACCACTACCCTTTTTGCAGGTTATAAATCTTCGCTGCAACTTAGTAACTCAGATTAGCTTTGGGACATTTAGGGCATGGCATGAAATGCAGTTTTTGCACAAAGTCATCCTCAATCACAATCCTCTGTCAAGTGTTGAAGATTCCTATCTTTTTAAATTGCCAGCATTAAGCTATCTAGACTTGGTGACAACACACACCCCATCTCCGGCAGTTGAGAACATCCTCATGATGACACTTGAATTGAAAACACTGATCATACTGAGGCACATGGCCTGCTGCCCCTCCCAATTTAAAAATGATATTAAGGTTGTCTGCAAGATAGTCAAGCTGCATTATGACAGTGAGTGTGTGACTAGTGCCACACAGTGTTTTGAGGAAGACCCTGTAGGGAATGCAGAAGGAGCCTTCATGAAGGTGTTACAGGCCCAGAAAAAGAACACTAATACTGAGCTGGTGATCGAGTCTGGAAAGTCGTCTTCCAAACAAAGTGATGTCAGCTGGTCAGACTTCGTGGACAAGGAGCTTGACTCTAATGGTGAAAATGATGTGGTTGGAGCACTCAATTACATACTGCCATATTTCTCAGAGGTAAATCTAGAAGATATAGACTCATTATTGCCATTCATTCAACTCCTTTTCTCAAATATACAAAATGAAGCTAATCCCCAGGGCTACATGAAAGGCAATATGAAAACCCCTCTCATCAACCTGTGTCCAGCAGTTCGGCTTACAGAAATGAACTGAAGAAGCTGTATTTTCTACAGAATTGGTTAGACACAGAAATTCAGGGAAAAATTAAGGAGGTTAAGAAAAAAGAGAAAACAGGCATGCTTATGCAGTCCAGCCTTTCAAGTCCCAAATTTCAAATTGTTCCCAATGTTCCTGAGAAATTGGCAAGTGCTCAAGCACAGGAAAACTGCCTGGTGGAAGATCAGCATGGAAGGAGAAGGCTATGGAAAGTGGACAGGGTCCTCAAGGCCCCCAAGGGCATACGGAAAAGCCTGCTCAAAGAGAGGCAGAAACAGAAGGTCAGGGAGAACCAGAGCACCCAGCAACTGGCCAAAAACACCGCAGACAGATGGAGCCTCAGGAGCCCCAGCACAGGGAAGCCAGGGCAGAATGAGGGGGTGCTGGGACCCAGGAACCCTCTCCATACAGAACAGAAGGTGCTCGTGTCTTCCACCCTGCAGGATCCCCTGCTGGGCAGGTCAGCCACCTCTGCCTTGGCCAAAGCCCCACATGGGGTGAGGAATGGAGCCAAAGACCTCACCAACTTCATTTTACTTTTAGAACATGCTGAGTTAAAAGCATGAAAGCTATTAAATCAATCTTAGGTTCCAAAAAAGGTCATGGCTTTCATAAAACTGCCTCGCTCGAGGCCCACAGAACACTCAAGGCCAACCCCAGGGAGCAGCTCATGAAGGAAGACCCATGTGGGAGGCTGAAGATTGCAGAGGAGCCTCATCCATTCCCCCTCTCAAGGGCTCCTCTCGTCCTCTGGAGACCCACGTGTTCAGGAGCATCCTTTCCCCAAATTATATGATCCTGCCAAAACCTCTATAGGAAGTGCTGCTGTAGAAAACCAAACTGCAGAAAACACCTCTGAAAAAAATGTTTTTACCACAAACTCTCCCGTTTCTGCCATGGATTCTGCCCTCACCCTGATATCCACTGATGACCACACCAATGAGATGCACTGGGAGTACACCAGCACTGGCACTGAGCCACCCCCTCCAGAAAGCTCTGTCCCCTTGCTGTCGTCCCCCGGAGATGAGTTCGAAACCCAGCTAAACCAGCAGCTTCACATCCTCATTCCCAACAGGGAGGTGAGGAGGCTCATTTCTTATGTTATTCGCACTCTGAAAATGGACTGCTCTAAGCCCCGCATGCAGCTGCCCTGTACCAAGCTTATCTACAGAACAGGCCTCCTGATGAAGCTGCTCAGTGAGCAGCAGGAAAAGAAGGTGGCCCAGGCCCAGTGGGACATGGAGCAGTGGAAGAGTGAGACCTACATCAAGATCTCATCTCAGGTCTTGCCTGAGAGCACAGGGGCCTTGAGCAATCAGAAGGTGCAGGGTGAGCCAAGGGACCACACACAGGAAGTTCCAGGACACGGCTTCAACAACAAGCGCATCCTGGCAATATCCATGATGGTGGCCGTGATGCTTCTGATCATCATCTTCTGTCTCATCAAGATTGGCTCCCACAGAACAGCTTTGAGGAAAGATAAGGAAGTGTCATCAAGTAGGGTTTTTGGGCAGAGAAGGAAGTACTCAGTGGAAAAGGACAGTCAGGAGGGCTTCTCCTGGTTTTGGCAGCCCCTGTGGCTCAGGGACATGAGCAGGCCTCTCAGTGTCACCCGGAAGCAAAGTATGGCACAGAAGCTACACGACAAGGACTCTTCCGACGAGGACAAGATGGTCACAAACAACATAGGGGAGGCCAGTGAAGCCCCCTCCGAGGCAGAGGAATCCACAAAGGCAGCAGAGTGACCTCTTCCCACCTTAGGTGATTGGGAAGTTTTATTTTGGCATTGCTTACAAAATAATTACTTTTCTCAAATTACAATGTGTAAAAAAATTTCAAAATAAAAGCAAAGGTACACATGCAAAAAAAAAAAGAAAGAAAGACTTAGAAACTTAGGAGTGAGAAGCTTGGAAGAAAAAAAGGCCTTGTAATGAAAAAGTCATTGTAACTTTGGTAACTTTGTTTCTTGAAACTGTGGTTTTCTTAGAAGTTCAATTTTAAAATTATGCTTTCCTTGTCTCCTTTCTACCTATCTTTATTTCTTCTAGCATACCTCAAATTTAACTCTCTTCATATACAGAGGTGTGGATCTGTGTCCAAAGAGTGTTAACTCCCCTTTTTCCTTTTCCTGGTTTTTTAAAGAAATTAAAAAGCCCGGAGCCACCAGGTGTGGTGGTGCATGCTTGTAATCCTAGCACTCAGGAGGCTGAGGCAGGAGGATGTTGGGTTGGAGGCCAGCTTAGCCTACATAGTAAGAAAATATCTCAAAACAAAAAAGGTAAAATGTTTTAAAAACATAAAAGAAAAACCTACTCAGAAAGGGGAAGATGTGTTATCAGTAGAGCTTGGGAAAGCTCTGAAGCACCCCGGAGAGTCTGAGGCTCCCTTAAAAATAAATAGGATCTAACTGAAACTTTTCTCTCTGCCACTGGACCCATACAGAGGTGGATGGCATTGTGTACGGAAGCCTGGAGCCTGAATCCAGCTGAGTGCCAGGTGCTCCCCAGTGTTGGAGGACAGAGGGTTCCGGGCTCCCTGGCAACATCCCTCCTGTGGGGTTGTGTGGCTGCCAAGGCTATGGAAAGTGATTTTGGCCTAAATGCATCCTTTTACTGCATGCTGACATCACGTCTAGGAAAGGGCTTTCATGAGTTCCTGGACATCCTGGGTACTGAGCAAGCAGACACACACACACACACACACACACACACACACACACACACCATTTTCTACTCACTCCCAGACATCTCTGAACCCAATGGGCCCCACACACCGTCTCAAGAAGGGGAGCACAGCTGACTTCAAAGGATAACTTTTAGCACAATTATTCCAGTCTTGAGAAATAGGAATTTCATGGTGTGATTGGAGCCCAGGGCTAAGCCCAGGTGGTTTCAACTTAGTAACCCCATCAGGACTTTTGTCTTCTAGCAGCAGGCTGGGGTGGGATGGTCACCAGCCAGGAGACAGATGGTAGCTGCCAGGGTGGTGTTTGCTCAAGGATTCACATGTAAACAGCTCAGACTAATGCTTCAGGATTGGTATTTGTTTCCTGAAAGTCCCCGACAGCTGCCTTTGCCACCCTGTGTCTCAAACCCGCCCTCAACACAAACACAACACACTAGCTAGAGAAAGAAAGAAGGGAAAACACAGGAGCGGGAGGGGGAGGGGGTACTGGTGACAGTATCTAAGGATGGGAGAAGCACGGTGAAGTGGAGAGATCAGCCGGGGCTCAGCCGGGGAGCACCTCCCTGCACACGGGGAGCCCTGGGTTCCAACCCTAGCACCATGGAGGAGGAAGAAGAAAAGAAGGAAGGAAGAGGAGGAAGTGAAAGGAGGAAGAAAAAAAAAGCAGGAGGAGGAAGGAAGTAGGGGGGTTAATTTTCTTGTGCGCAGCCCATAGGCCTTAGAATTGTCCATCAGGACATGGATTTGATTTTCCTTAATAGGACTGCATACTTCACATACCCGATTTTCCCAGTCCCAGTGGAATGGCTTTTACCTCCCAGGAGCTGAGGAAGGAGAAGGAGGAAGTGGAAGGAGGGAGGAGGGAGAAGAAAGAACTTCTATTGGGTGCTAACGGTGTGTGGAGCCCTTTGACCCCATTCTCTCACATACCCAACTCTGGACTGACCAGCCCACTGGATGCTCTGTGGAGTGCTGTGTGAGAAACTGGAATAGGAAATCATGGCTCATCTTCAAGATGCAAGCCAGATGACAGTGCAATGGTGGCAAAAAGGAAGGTCACATTGTTCAAGCTATGTCAGCCACAGAAAAGCAGATGTAATACAAGATATACAAATATATAAGAATTTACAGATTGGCTTACAATGACCACCCACACAGTTGGTTGTGGAAGGGTGCAAAAGGTCTGTCTGCATCCTGGGGACTTGAAGTATCCAGTTGAAGACCTGGAGCTCTCTGTAGTGTCCAGTATGAGTCCACATCGGGAGGCTGAAGGGTTGGTGCTGGAAGCTGAAGAGTCTGCACTGGAAGCCACGAAATGATATCCAAGATGAAAGCGAGGACTGGAGATCCTGCTAAGAAACAGAAGTGAGCCTTCCTTTGCTTCCCTTCACACCATCTTGGCAAAAATCCTCCCTACAGTGGGTCTTCCACAACTCAGATTGACACAATCAATCAACTATCAAACAGGCACACAACAACGCTTTCTTTTGATTGCTAAAGTACTGAAACATGTTCTTGTCCACTGGAATCAGGACCAGCTTCTCAGGCTCCCTGAAGGTCTTGACTGTGGCCTTGACATGCCCAGGTCATTCCAGGATCTCCTGGATGCCTGTCTTATGGGTCAGCCTCCCCAGCAGTGCCACTATTCTGATATCATCCTGCACAAATCATGGTGTGCTTTCACCTTGGAGAGTTTTGGCCATCACTGTTTTTTATGACACCACAGAATTGAGATAAATGATGGAGCGATTGCCACGTGAAGGTAGAATACAACAACAGAACTTCTGGTCAAGAGAGTTGAAAGCCTGGCGAAGACAATGGCTGAACAGCTTGATGCAGTGAGCCAGGACTCCAGAGCTGGTTCTGAAGCACACCTCTCCCTAAAGTATGGAATTGGTGACACTAGGACAAACACAAGACAGTGCAAGTGTGCACCCTGTCTCTGAAATGCATGGGACTGGAAGGAGTTCAGTGTTTCCTGGTTGGGGGATAGTTGCCTACACAGAATGAGATATCTTGAGGATGGGGGCCACATCTAACCATAAGCTCGTTTATGTCTCATAGGCGCCCAATCAATCATACAATATTTTCAGTGCACCTGTATTTTGATTGTCACCCATCAGGTGAGGTCAGATAGTCTTCCCACTTGTAGTGTCATGTTGGCATTCAAGATGTTGTGGATTTGCAGAATTATGGATTTTTGGATGAGGAATCCTCAGTCTCTAGTACTCTGTACAAAAGGTAATAACTTTAGGGCAGCAGCACAGCATCAAAGGGTGCTGCAGGCTGAGGATGTAAACAAGTCCAGCACACATGACCAGCATTTAAGATATGCACATGTGGCATCTTGCAAATGACTATGAAGGGGAAACTGGAATCTTTGCCTTTCAGCTGCGCCTGCTTGAGGCTGATGTCAAGGAGGAGGGCCATGTGTCTGATGGCCTCCTTGATGCTTCTGTTAAAACAGAAGCTGAACTGGAAGTCATGATTCCACATGGGTAGCAGACACTTTGGTTACTGTCATCACTGTTGGCGTGGCAGTATGCAGAAGAGGCTGTGAAAATTTTCCACTTGCTGGTGAGGCTAGTTATGGATTAAACCTAGATGATCCCCAAGAGCTGAAGTCACTCAGAGTTGGGGCTTCTGGAAGGTGACTGGATTATGGCGGCTTATAGCTGGCCTACTGGAAGTTCCTACTGGAGCACACCTGGCCTGCCATCCTCAGGTCCATGAACAAAAGCTGAGTCTCTTTGGTGGGAGACAAAGCACAAGGTGACTGACAGAGAACTGGGGGCCAAGTCCAAGTTCGAGCTCAGTCATTGAACCTCTGTGAAAATTTATTTTAAAAATAACTTTCTGATTCAAAATTATATCTATTCATTAAAACATAACAATCAAGAAAATTGTGAGACATAAAATAAAATCTACCCATCCCCCACCACCCACAGATGACTTCCCTGGATCTATTTATGAAAATTGTGCTTTTCTATTTGTGTAGTTAAAAAGTCTTCTTAGAACAGAGTTCTAGATAAGGAAATTTTACATCAAATGATATACTCATTTTAAATTTTAGCAAATATTATTCTGCTGTATTTGTCAAAGTTGATCAGGATTCTCCAGAAAAATAGAATCAGTGGGTGGGGGGAGAGAAATTTATGATGATAATGATTAGTTGATTATGAAAGCATTCAAATCTACAGCACTGATGTACAGTTCAAGTTCAAAGAGAGAGAAAGAGAGAGAGAGAGAGAGAGAGAGAAATTTATTATGGTAAATGATCAGTTGATTATGAAAGCATTCAAGTCTACAACACTCATATCCAGTTCAAGTTCAAAGACCAGCAAGCTGCATTAGAACCAGGAAGAACCAGCAAATATTCCAGTCTGATAACCATTAGGCAAAACAATTGTCTCTTACTCAGAGTCGGTGAGACTTTGTTCCAATCAGCTTCTACTTGGGTTCTTGTTTAGGTGAGAACCACTCATGTTATTGAGGATGATTTGCTTTACTCAGTCTCCTATCCAAATGTTAATCTCATCCAATACTCTCATTGCAGAAGTACCCACAATAATGTTTGACCAAATAGCTGGGCATCCTATAGCCCCAGACAATACTTTTTAACCCTGTATGGATGGTCCTCACTTTACGATTTAGGATTCAATTTAGAATTTTTTTAAAAACTTTACAATGATGTGAATGCAATCTGTAGAAACCATACTTCAATTTTTAAACTTTTCCTAGGCTATGAATATGGAGCAGGATACTCCATCATGGCACCAGGCAGTGGCAGCAAGCCAAAGCTTCCACTCAGCCACATGATCACGAGGCCACCAGCTGCCTTAGCCCATTCTCTGCTGCTCTAGTCGAATAACCACAGGCTGGGTAACTCATAAACAGTAGATGTTTATTTGTTCATGGTTCTGGAACTTGGAAATTCCAAGATCAAGGGTCAATATCTGATGAGGGCTTTCTCACTGTGTCATAACACGGCAGAAGCACAAGAGGGTACATATAATATGGTGGAAGGCCAAGAGGGCATGCACAAGACAGAGGGGACCAGAGGGGGCCAGACTTATATGACACCCACTCTCTCCAGAACCAATCCAGTCCTGCAGTGATGGCTTTAACCCATTCCTAATCACCTCT